TTTATCCTATGGAGGACATTCTCACACCTTTTTCTCTTTCTTGCTTCATTCTACTGTTCTCCATGTTTTTATACTTACCTGTTTTTGCTAAATAAACTTTCCGCTGTTTCTCATGTTTTGTGTCAAACTCATTTCTTTTTGGGCCACATCTGCATTATCAAGTATTTCAATGGGCCGGTTGCTGCTGTATAATTAAACATTAAATTTCATCACTGTATTTAATAAAGACCTCACTGCTCTATCATCGCTTTGTTGTATTTAGCAGTTTAGACCACTTTGTTTTAAAGAACAAATGCCTCCATTTTCTGACACCATATGCCTTTTTTGGCTCTTAAAGAGCCAGATAAATTGCCGATGGGGCAGTTTCAGCCTGCAGGCATTCAGTTTGTGCCATGGATCAGTGTTCCCCAATCTTTTTTGACTTGTGTGCCCCTTTGAGCATTTTTTCTTACCATGAGTACCCCCCTCGGTCAAAAGTATTGATGACTGCCAAAGAGTAGAATGTCAAAACAACTGATTATAATTTAAAAAGTATTCTATTAATCTTAACTTCAGCATTTAATTCTTTGGCATTTTATTCTTTCAAACTTAAATAAAAAATATATATATAAATATGCCACGCGGAAGCTAATAAGTAATCAAAATAAATGCAAAATAAAATCAGATTATAAATCTACCTTTATATAACGTGAGCTCCTCTGAGTAAGTCCCCTTTAATCACACATAATCTTGGGATTTTTGAATAAAATACTGAAAAACCAATTATAGTCAGGCTCACTCCATTTGTTTTACATTGTTTTATACATCCATGACACCTGAGCTGCTTTGATGAGCTCCAATAGCTCAGGTGTGGGGAAACAGCTGATCCCAGGCTGTTCTCTACATCCAGTCTGTTCCTCTGCTTGGTTCTGATGTGTGTCGAGGCTGAAGGTGAACTCAAACATATGAGAGAAATATACTTTTGTTTGTTTTATTTTTCAGTTGGGTCTTCACAAAGTAGAACAGATCCCAGCCCTATTTTATTTTATTCCCTGAGAAATAAATTATGTTCATGTATCCTTTTGTCCTGTTTCTCTGACTGGCTGGATGTGATCTCTTCATCCTCTGACATGGGAGCTGGCTCGGAGCTTGTCTGCCTGGCTGTGTGTTTCCTGGATGGGGCCGCATTTTACAGTTGCATTTTACAGTTGCCTTTTATATCTCCTTGAACCCCAGTCAGCCTCGGCAGATGGCTGCTCACACTGAGCCTTGTTCTGCTGCAGGGTTCTTCCTGTTAAAATTTAGTTTTTCCTCTCCACTGTTGCTAAAAGCATGCATAGTGTGAGGGATTGCATCCGAGTCAATGAGTCGATGCAATCAACTGGTTTTCCTTAGATAGAAAACTTTGAATCAATTTGACTGTATGATCTAGTGAACTCTAAAGTGCCTTGGGATGACATGGGTTGTGAATTGGCACTATATAAATAAACTGATTTGAATTGAATTGAATACCCCTTGCAATGCACTCGCTGACCACTAGGGGTAAGCGTACCCCCTTTTGGGAATCACTGCTTAGTGAAGCCTGTGTTTGCTTATGTCTTTTTTTCTAGAGAGGAATTTGTGCTCTTTCCTTGTTCTTTGTTAAGTTATTATCAATGCTAAAAAGCTGCCGATAATTATTTGCCCTCCTTATCTTGTTTTAATTGAAAAGGATCTCCCGGACTACTGCTTATCTGTTTTTCTTTTTCCTGTGGGTGCTTAAATCCCAGCTGAGGCTGGTAGTTTCTTATATTAGGCCAGGCTCTTCTATTAGAGGAGGTCCGATAACCAGCAGGTTGCTAGTTTGAGCCCCGACTCCATCGTCTCATTGATGTGTCCATGTAGTGAGGGCATAACAGAAAATAAATCTATCGTTTATCGTTTTATCTACATTTCTGTCTTAATTATAATTTTAAAATTATTCCGGATGTTCACAGATACACACTAATACTATAGTACTAAGCTGCAGCTACAGATATATCCTACCCTGACTATCATTGTGTAATCACCGTAGGTTCAGACTCAGACACATGTGGAAGGATACCTGCTGCTCTTGAAGCTTTTTAAAAAAAAAGTTTACTTTGTTTGTCTGTTGTCTTCTTTTTGTTGTTATGCTCTCTGTTTTCTATTCCTCGCATCTCATACAGGTATCGATGCAGACTTCTACGAGTTATTGTATATCTTCTGTTTTCTATTTTTGTAGTTTTATTTTCTCCCTTTTCCTGCACTCTTTCCTGTCTCTATCACTCCCCCTGTCTTACCTTAGTTCTTATCTCCTCTTTCTTTCTTACCTCCCTTTTCATATCTGTTGTATATGATTTTACTCCCAGAATAATGTTCAATTAAGTTTAATATACAAATATCAAACAGTACCTAATGGCAACAGTCATACTGGTCTGCTTGTGAAAGCAAAGGGCAATCAGTTAGCTGTGGGACATCAACTCCCAGAGTAATATCGGATAAAAAAGACACTCAATAGGTAATAATTACAGTCGTATTGAGATAGAATCGCGGTCTTCAACTGTTAAAACTACTTTGAACCAAATTGAAAGATACTCTATTCTATGAAAGTTAAATTTATAATTTTTACCGAATTTCTAATTCTGATTTTATTAAAGCTATACATTGTCATTTAAAATAAGTCAAAAAATATTTAATATTCCTGAATTATGAATGCACATATATGTACAGGACTATTACATATATTTGACTTATTTCAAATTACATTTTATAGCTTTAATCAAATCAGAATTAGAACTTCATTAAGAATTATAAACCTTACATTCCAAAGAATAGCTTTATTTTATCTTTTAGACGAAGTTTATTCAGCAACAAATAATTTCAGCTGCTTTGTTTCCAATGGTAAGGGATTTTTAACATTTTAGGTCAATAAAATTAATATTTTCAAATCAAAACTACAAATGTTCTGTTGGAACAACATTAAATTGTAATTAAACTAAATGAGGTGTAAATTTCTCTTCATTCATTGTAGAGCTACAAGTGGATTTTTGGTTCTGCAGTTCTCTTAATCCATTTAAAGTGTTGATTTATAATCCTGTTTTTTGTTTCCTGTTTCTCTGTCACCACTCACCCCCGTGGTGAGCCTGACATAGTGAAAACAATTGCAAATCTTCTTTTGGAACCATTTAAACAGAGCATGCACAAGGAGAAAGGGGCTTGTGCATGCACTTGCATGCGTTTATAGGTGTTCCCTCTCTGGGGCAGGTACAGGGTTGTGCATGTGCATTTTCTGGAGAGGGTAGGTCTTTTCAAAAATTAGCGAAAATCTTACATTATACCTGTAATTTCAGCTGCTATAGAAATTACAGCAAAGGAAACAAACGGATTCAGTTACCTGGTTTCCATCAGCAATCTGTATTCATAATAAACTAATTTTGGTTATACCATACTACAGGTAAGAGTTATGTATTAGACTCTTTTAAATTTAGATGTAACTTTATGATATGATTGTTTTGAAATCAACAGGATTTTTCAAACTGAATACAATAGGGCTCAACAATGAATCCGATTAGTCGTGATGAATCGATTATTGAAATTTTTTTAAACTGATTTAGTAATCGATTAAACTTTAACTGGAGTATAGAGACTCTAAAAGTCTATAATTGTAGCAAGATTGTAAAAAAATATGTAAAAATTTTCCATTAAAGATAAAAAAAAAAGAATTTCATCTATCTATATGCTCTATCCAGAACTCCTTGAGTGGAGAAGTTTCAGTTTCACCTGGATTGATTTCCTAAAAATTCTTCTTTGAGGAACCTTTGGCTATCTGATTATCAATTTAAAAAAAATTATCCACATATTAATACATTTGCTAAATAACCTTTAGTTGCAGCCCTACAATATAAACAGAAAGGGGGCCTCGGTGGGGCCAGTGTTTTTTCATGGGGGCACAGAACAAAAGAATAACAAACATGCAAAATTTGCAGGGCTAGAGAACATCGTTTAGTAGATATGGTAAACAACAAAGCCAAGGTTGTAGACATCTAAAGAACAGATGAAAACTATGATCTTTATATGTCAGAAGCTTATGGCTGACAGTCATTTCTAAATAACTAAAATTGAAGTGGTACAAGGGATGAATCAGTTATAGTTTCTTCTGTCTGTGTAAATAATCCTAAGAAGTTGATATAGTAATACACAGCAGAAAATGATCTAAAAGAATAAACATTTCTAAAATATAAGTTATTTTGCCCTTAATTTAAGCATGAAATTAAGATGATCTGCCAAAGGAATTAGCATTTCGGCTCTTAAAATAAATAATTACAGTTATTCCCTTGAATTACATTTTTATATTTTATTATTTTAAACATGTGACATTATATTCCAAACCGCAAGAACAATGGCCTTTTATTTTGTTTGCAATACAGGGGCACTGGCCTCTGTTGGCCCCTGTCTAGAACCGCCTGTGCTCATATAGTGCCTTTTGGTGGGATTTTTTTTGTCACTTGGCTCAATGCAAAGTAGATTGAACTGAAATGCCTGAAACACTTCTGATACAAATGGCCAAGGGGAGTTTATAAAAAAAAAAAAAGCAAAACTATGCTTCCATGATCTCACTGGATTGAAGGAGCTTCATCATGAAAATGATCCAATTCATGGTAGAATGTGATGGTTGTTATGATCTGAAAGGGGTTTGTGTCTCCTTCATCTCTAACCCTGTTTGGTATCAGGAGACTCTCACTCTGAGCTCAGTAAAAGGAACTTGTTCATCCCCATATCACCCCCACAATGGGGGAAGGGAAATAAATACATAACACCAAAAAACAAATATGGACCATGATAATGTGAAAAAAACATCGTTGAGTTGCCAAATGTTATGAAATGTCCTTACAACTGTGTGTTTACCACAGAGTCTCCTATGTGTTTCCTGTCAGTGTGAGAGCAGGCCGTTCGTTGTGGAGGGGGTGGTGGAGAAAGCTCCAGGGTGGTGACTTCTCTCCACCCATTAGTAAACTGTAGAAAGAGGGAGGGAACTGGAAGTCAAATAGGAGAGCAGGAGGTTGATCTAATGAAGGCAGCCAGAAGCAGTGAAATGTCTCTGAAAGAAAGTTAAATCTCAAGAAGAAAGAAAGAGGGGAAAATTTACAACTTATGGGTTCAGGATTAGAAGTTTAAATAACATACCTTCCTGTTAAACTTGATTTAGTTCTAATTAGTAGCCTTTTCCCCTTAAGGTAACTTAACGCATGATCTGAAGAGTTTTATTTCCTCTGAGAAGACACACAACTGCAGTAAGTACAGAATGTTTTTCATTTAAAATTATCACGTTTTTTTATGTTGTATATGTGTGTTATTGTTTATAACAGTGTAGATGTGTGGTGAGGGGCAGCTGGAAGAACCGGTCAAAGACACGTGGCATTTAACTAAAACAGGCGCTCAATCATTTTAGTTCTCATCAAACTGGCGCATCTTCAGAAACCCGCGAAAAAAAAAAAAAAAGCACAAAGCTAAAATACATACGAGGAAGTTGGGAAATCAACATTTTATCTCTATGAATAGAGCTGAAATGGTGGTAATGAATGCGTCGGAAATGAGAGTGAGAGCCTGCCATGCTTGAACTGGGTTCCTCATTCCTTCCTTGTTGTAGTAAAGCATTGTTTCAGTAATCTACCTGGGTGGATCTTCCTTAGAACAAGTATAGCAGGCTGACTAATGATGAAAAAAAATGCATATCCTAACTTCCAAGATCCGATCTCACCGTATTTGTAACTTTGATCACCTTTTTGAGTGAATGGTTTTTGTCTTTTAAGGATAAAGATCCGCGATAACTTCACTGCCCTCCTCGAAAATTAGAATTTACCAAAACGTAGATTCAGATTCATTTAATTGTGAAGTTAAATGCTTTATGCATATGATTTTTGTTCTACTATTATAGTTATTGGTTTTGTTTAAAATGTTAATAATTATTTTTCAAATAGCTAATAAACGATAAAGGGGTGCTGTTCATCATACCTACTGAGCATGCGTAGTTTTGTCAGCGGCAGGAAAATGTCTCCTAACCGCATTAACAAGATGTTATTTTAATTATTTTCAAAATGAGAGTTATTTGGTTTAATAAGTTCAATAAACAATTTTTGCAGGCAGATATTAATGAGTGGCCAGTATGTATTTATCCCTTAAAAGAGAAATTAAATTACAAGTTTTTTCATGTGATATGTTTATAATCTTAAATGCAACAACAACAAAAATAAATAAATAAAGTGGTTACAAGCTTGTTTGTTTAGGAAATGTAAGTTAGAAAGGAATAAATTATGTAAAGTTTGTATCACAGGTTGTGTGTCCTGCAGCAAGTTAAACAGATCTGGTTTAATTATCTGTTCCCTTTCAATATTACATTTGGACAAAACAGACAAAAAATACTGCAAACACTCACTGGACATGGTGTGCCTGCATAAAACTTTGAAGATGTTTTATATTGTCACAAATTGGCGACATACATAAAAAAATTGCATAGTATTTTTAAAATATTAATTAGGCACTGTTGGTTCATCTTTTAGCTCAAAAATATGAAACCGAAACATAGTCTTTTATATACCTTGTTTATTGATAGTCAAAAATACTAAAGTTTTCATAAATATCAATATGTGTGCATTTTATGTAGGCTATGTGTGTAACTAATACCTAAAGATCTGACTAATTGTTTGGTTCCTTTTTGCTTGTTTTAAACGGATAATTACGACTTTTCGTTGAGCAAGTGAACGCAGCATTGTCGCTCCTGCACGGGCCGCCCCCGGGAGTCAGTAACCGGACCCAGGCTGAGGTCACACCCGCAGAGAAACAGCTGCCCGCCCGGCAAGGCAGTGACTGAGGGTCGTTCTGCAGCCTTTGGTTTATTTTCTTGGAAACTTGGGAGGATAAAGAGTTTGTCCTGAGCTTCTTTATGTCCGGCAGAGAATAACAAACACGGAGTGTCGAGGTCAGGATTATTACCCAGCATGGAAAAAAGGAGCATTGGATGTGAGTGGGAAGAGAGGCGGTTAAAAAAAAAAGGGAAAAAAAGCTGGGAGCAAGATGAATCAAACAGTCATGGCCAACATAAGCACATTCTGTCATTTATATATATAAACAGACCGAGCATGTGTCCCAATTGATTCTGCAGCTTGGATGGACTAAAACATTGGCAATATTGCATCATTCTGGAGCCCAGGTATTTCAGGAAACAGCTTCCAAATATGGTGCTCCTCACAGTGTGCTTCCTACTCTCCCTACACGCCCAACCAACACGCTTCACAGTGTTGTGTTAGGAGTCACAACTAGCTACCAACACTAAGAACATACTGCTTTCTTGTTTTACTTATTGGTAAGTATTCGTTGTGTTGACTCCTCAACACTATCACAACACAGAGGCCCTCTGTGTTTTCTAAATACAGAGGAGTGCAGCAGGTTTAGTCACACCGCTTAAACTTTTGTCAAACAAAAAAAATATATATTTTTTTTCTTAGCTGGGTTATATTTCTTTTTTTTTTTTAGAAATAATAATGTGTGACATTTGGCATGCATTTGTTTGCTGCCCTCCCATCATTTTTTTTTTTATGTTGAACTACCCTCCACTGCCATTATAACAGGAACCTCTGGCGTATGTCTCTAAATGGCCTTAAACTTTTATTCATTTTTTGATGGGAAGTATTAGCAGCTCAGTGAATAATTGGTGAATATGAATTCCCACATCTTGCCACAGATTCTCAATTTGATTTTGGTCTGGACTTTGACTGGGGCCACTCTGACCGAGGCGACTGCTTTGTTTATTTCATAGTACCCCTGGTTATATGTGAAGCCCAAAAGATTAGTTGCAAACTTTAAACACAACTTTCTAAAAGTCTGGATTTGTGGAGAGTAAGTAACATTCTGTATTCTGCCATCTGTAACCCTTCCAGAGGTACCAGGGGACTCTTGCTATTACTTCTCCAAAGGATGCTCTCCTCCTCCGACCCCTCATTGTAGGTTGACAGCCAGGTCTTGGTTGGTCCTTTGGATAATGCTGTTTTATTATCTTCTCTAGGGAACCTGTAAGGCCTTCTGAGAGCTTCTATATGTATACAGTTTGAAGCCCTATTTCCCAAGAAGACTTCCCCTGCTCTGGATTTTTTGGGGGGCATTGGAAAAAAGATGGTTACAAACATACACCAAATGTTCTACATTTGTATAACAAAAAATATGTTGAAATCACATTATTTTCATTATATAAATTCACTACTTTGTGTCAGGCTCAGAACAAAAGGACAGCGTTTCGGATGCAGAGAGACAGTTCGGTTTCACAAAAGGTTTATATAAGACAGAACTGTAGAGAACAGCGTTGGCGTCTTAAGGCAGGAACTTCTGGTCTTGAAGTTCAGTCCATCCAGAGGATGAGGTATGTTCCAGCTGGTTAGTTGCCATCAAGATGTGGTGGGCGCTGCTCCGAGAGTCCCGGATACTGAAGTCCCAGAGGTTGGAGGACAGGTAGGACTTCAGAACCGAGCAGGCAAAGGAATGCAGGAGAATCTAGAGGGTGAAGCCAAAGGTATCAAGGACATGCTTGGGAGTCAGAGCCAGGAGATCAGAGATCTGAAGAGGTACCGAAGGGAAATCCAGGATGGACTCAGGAAGCAGTTCCAGGTTCGGTACACAGCCAGAAATCAAGCAGGAGTCCGAATACAAGTCAGGCAAACAGATCAGAACGGGAACAGGCAGGCTCACAGGTCCAAAGGCAGAACGGGTCAGGGTCAGGCAATCAGAAACATTTAGATACGCTAGAGAACTCTCATCAAAGACCTCAAAAATCTGGCATTAATCATTGCTTGAAGGTTAATTAAATAGAGGCTGGAACAGGTGGATCAGATGAACAGTAATGAGAACTGGGCAAAGCTAGGCAGGTGAATGAAGTTAAGTAATCGGGCCAGTCATCAGTGCCAAGATCATGACACTTGTGTTATCTATGTTAGTTTCTTCTGTGGAACATGATACAACTATTTAAAAAACTAAGGGACAAGGAACACTTTTGCAAGTCAGCAGTAGCTGGCATTATATCAAAGATCAATAAACAGGATGGAAAAACTTCAGAAGAGCAGCAGACACATTGCTCAGTTGTGCTGTGTGTCTCATAAAAGTCCACCTGCTCCTATAACCTGAGCCTGGGCACTTGATACCACAGCCAAACACACACGGTTACTCTGATACCTTAGAGCCACGGCTCCTGGTTATTGTCTTCAGAGGACTTGTTCTCTTTGTGTGCGCTGAGTTGCAGCGTTTACCTTGTGATATTTTTGTACAATTCCAGGCCAAGAAAGGAGCCTTTAATTTGTCAACTTTGTTTATATTGGCTCTACTCCTGTCGTTCTACATGTAAACTGTGATATTTCTAAGGAGTGTGCAGCTTTAAAGTTTCTCTTAAGTATTTATAAGATAAAGGAATATAAAAATAAATCTCAAAACAAAACTATGTTGGATTTGAAGACCTGTATAAAAATATGAAAGTCCTAAGCAGAGAGTTCAGTTTTTCGCTGTTGTTTGCAGCTTCTGTAATGTTTTTTCTGCTTATATTAAAATGAAAAAAGACACAGTGCATGGTTATGGAGACAGTGGTTTTATTTGCTGCTGAAGCATAGTATATTTTGTCTTTAACTAATATTTGTTTGCATTTAACAAACATAATAATTTCTTCTAAGATCAAATATAAAAAAGTCTGCTGCATTTTTCATGCCAGGTCTTGTGCTGTTTACACATCACATGTTGTTTTCAAGGACTTTCTGATGTTGGTGATAACAAACGATTAGGACCACCTAATTGTTTTTCTCATGAGCATTTTTATAAAGCATATTACTGATTTGGGAACTGCTAGAGAGGTTAACGGAGGACATTTCTAATCATATTATGGTGGATTACCTCAAACTGTAGCAGTCAGTTGTAACATGCACTCCATAGGAACATTGTGAAGGCGTGCAGATCATGCCTTCACAATGTCGTTCTTTGTCAGTTTTGGTCTCTTTATAACTCATTCGTTTCAGGTAAAAAAAATTAGTTGCATACATCAGTTCAGAAGTTCATATAGATTGCTTTCCAGATATTAGGTTGCACTTGTATCACTAAAAAGGGCCAAGCTGTGAGAAGGATTTTTAGAGTGATTTTTAAAGAGTATGTCTGAGTTTTTTTTTTTGTTTTTTTTTGTTTTTTTTTTTACATCATTTAATAGTTTAGTTAGACTAAATGTTGCTTTGAGGATAGAGAACATGCTATAAGAAGTTTTATGGGTAGTCCCACAATTGGAAAATTATTAATTCAATTCCAGCTTCTCTCCTTGATAAAAATTGACTGCATCTAGGCAAGGCTCTTTGTCTCAGGTACCTACCATCCCATTCCATACCAACTGTACATGCAGCTCTTGAGTTTAAAGTTGCTTTGATTGGTCGACATGACTTGAAAAAAGCTTCACAAGTTCAGTGGATAAGTTGTTATTCATTTAGTCTTAAAAAAGACTTTTGTTGCATATCCCGGAAAGGTTTTAGTTTAGAACCTTTTGCTATCCAATTATTAATCGATTAATTGAAAAAAATAATCAGCAGATTAATCGATTTGCAAAATGGTCGTTAGTTGCAGCCCTAGTGCCTCATCATCATCATGTCACCTTACAGAGCCTATCCAATCAGACAAAGCAGACAGGCTGGTTAAGCGTTTCTAGCTAAGTAATCCCAGTAGAATGAATGTAGTTCTGTGCTCCTGTGTGAGAAAGTAGCGACACTGGACAGCCGCTTGCGTTGCATAGCTGACTTTGCAGCAATTGCTCATTGCATTTAGGGACAGGGGAGAGGAAAACTCAGAACAGAATGAAATGTCCAGCAGAACCAGGCTCAGTGTGAACGGACTTCGACCAACATTGACGGGTTTGAGGAGACAGAGCAGACAGACTAACGGAGCATAAAAACACTGGTCCAAGATTACTTTCTATGTGAGGGAAAAGTAAAAGGTTTGTGGCAGTAGCGGCACCCCTATTAGCTTTATCTAGAAGATGAGCTCTGAGCCACAACTCAAGTCTGGAAGATGGAAAAAGATGACACACAGTTAGCCACAGCCAATAGCTATGATAATGAAAGGGACAGAGTTGCCGCTGAAAGAAAAGACCAAGTGTTTGATCTGGACAGGAGAACTTTAAGGTTAAGGTTTTGGCTGCAGTTCTGCTGACGTCCATCTCCAGAATGTCATCAGCTGGATGAAACTATTGGGAAGAGAGATTAGATCAGAGGTATAAATTAAAAAGAGATAAAAACTAAGCATGAGAGAAAAATCTGTGGGTTTTGTGAATGCCACACAGCCATGTTGTTGTTTTACCTGGTTGTATTTGTCCGCCTCCTTAAGAATATGGTGTTTTACTAAAAGAGATGTAGTCGCCACCAGTGGCATTACTGGTGCAATAAATTAAGGATTGTTTAGGATAGATGTCTGTTTAAATATATAATATGATGAGCAGGATTCATTTTGAAGGTAAAAAGATGGGATAGTGTAAAAAAAACAAAAACAATACAGGTTACAAAACAGACTAGATGCCTTCAGACTCCATAAAACCAGTGAAGTTCAGGTGTAGTTTGATTCTGACTGCTCGATGTCCCACTCAGAGTCATTCTCACTGTCTTAGTTTATTACCAGGCTCATTTGTGGATTTACATGAGTCAGTGAATGAGAATGGTTTCGCTCTGTCACTTCCATTGTCGTCGCCACATCTATGCTCAGCTCCTCCCTCCTCTCATTCCTGTGGAGCTATGGCACAGCTTACCACCCTGGGTCCTTGGATCTCCGAACCTATTGGGTATTACCTCAAATAGGGAACTACCTCACAGTTCCTACCTTCTTCCTCTTTTCCGTTCCTCATCTGCTTTCTGTGCTAAGACCTTAATAATAACTTTTCAATTCCCTTAAATTATTATATAAAAAAAAAAAAGATTACATACTTTGATATAGGTTTCTAAAAGAACTTTAACAGATTACGCACCTTTGGATGCATGCTTTCAAAGGATTACTATATTCGATTATACTTTCATATGGTGCTATTTCCTCTTCACAGACACCCTTGTCTCACCACTGTCTGGGTCATTCGACACCATGTTGAGTACGGGGGGGAGTTGGATGTGTGTGTGGATGTATGCTAGAGGTTTTGATCACGGGGTGTCAGTTTCAGGGAAATCCTCCTTTTTAAAGTCTCTCCTCAGCACAAAGGCTGCTCACTGGGCCATGCGTAATCGAATTATACACATGCCTCACTGGTACATGCAGAGACAGATCTGTCCCTTTAGAGTGTTCACAGTTTGTCCAAGAAGAGATGTCCTCATTAAAAGTTGTTTCCTGTTTGACGTCCTGACTGTAGCCCCCCCGCTGCCTAGCTCACCCCTTTTCTTTTTGTTCACATGGTTGGTTATTTTTGGCTCACTGTGTTTTATTTAGACATTTTCCAGATGAGCGTTATCGGATTTGTTCCACCTTCACTAACGACGGTTAAAGTGACCTGTTCTGGGGGTGTGTCATGTGTCTGTTCTGTGGAGGTGGTCACGACTGGCTTTTCTCTGTTTGTTTTGGCAGTTCAGGCCTATCTGTTTGAACATGGGAGCAATTACGTAAAAGCAATGAAGCAGTTTTATCCCAGCGAGATAAAACCAGGTAAAAACTGTCAACTAAAAGGCTCATTCAACTGAAACTGGTGCTGCTTCCAACGGAAACATGCAATACAATTAAGTGTTTGTTGCTTCTCATCCATATGAATTGAGTATAACTGCTGTTTCAGTACTTTGGCGGAATTACTGTGCATAATGCATGGGAAAGGATCCATTTACAAAACAATGACACCGTTTGAATCCAAGTAGAAGGCAAATTGAGAGAGAGAAAATGCTCCCATTCTCAGAAAGGAAATAGTATAAATACCTTTAATTTCAACTTTGGGTGAATTGCTGGTTCAAATGGAATAAAAACAACTTCTGTGATAAATGATCATTAGAAAGTGGTTTTTTTTACATTTTTTGCTGATTTCTAATCAAAGAAGAGTTGAAATTTGCACCACAGGATTTAGGATGCGTTGCTAAAGGTTAGCATTAATAAGGCATTTGTCAGCAAATAAAGATTTTGTTTACACAAGTTAGCCTGGGAGTCTTTTTGAGTTATATCTAAATAAATGCTAGTTCAAAGACTATTAACTCTAACAACTTTCCAGAATTGCGAGTCATTGCAGTGTCGAGCTGTGGCATAGTGAATAATCAACGGACATTTACAGAAGGGGACTAGCTAAAGGATTTTTAACTTTATTTCAAATCAAAAACTTAACAAATTCGTGATTCAAATAATATCCTAACATGTAGTCAATGTTTAAAAGCCAGAAACTGTTGAAAATATACCTAAGGAGATTCGTCAACAATCAAGAGCATGGACATTGTTTGCTACAGAAAGCTTGTGGTTGAGATGAAACTCTCTCAGGGACATTTTAAATACTGGTCTTGGGAGAAAGTTGGAGAAAATAACCAGTAGATATCATGTGAGCCTGTTTTCTTTTTTTACACCAGCTTAAATTATTTATTCTAAAGAAAAGATACATGAGAAAAGGGTCTTTAAGAGCCACTGTCCCGCAAATCAAACCATCTGATTCCCCAGTCAGCTACCGTTAAGGGCAGCAAAGGCCTGTTAATCAACTATATGTTTAAATCAGCAGTCTGGAGACGGGGAAACACCTAAAACATGCAAGTCATTGGCTCCTGAGGACCAGGATAGATTTTTTAATGGTGGATTTTAGAAATAAAAGCACACTGCAGAAAATTGAAGTTTAAATAAGTCTTTTTTTTTTCTTTAAATAAGTGCCTTTATTTTTGAATTGAGGTGCTGAGACACTTTGCCAATGGAAAAAGAAGATTTTCAGAAAGACAATTGCAGAAAAACAATTGCATTGTCTTATTTTAAGTGCATGTTATCTAATTTATCTTTTTTAAGAGTAAAAATACTAATTTCATTGGGAAAAAATCTTACTTACCTATTCAAAGTAATAGTAAACACACTTAATTTAATCAATTAATCAATCTCTATTGTCAACTACAATTTGCACCGTAATCGAGATTTCAGTTCCATGAAAAAAACTGTTTAAGGACTTGCTCATTTCTAGATCGTGCAGCTGGTGGCTAATTTATCTATTTTCGCCTCATTAAGGAAGTAGAACAGTAACTATCTGGACAAAGATGGGTAACAGTTATTGTATTCTGTTGCAGGTCTAAAACCTGTGCTACAGTTTTAAAAGCTTCTGCTTTAAATGGGTTTTATTTCATTTCTGCCGTGTTTTTTATTTGGCTGATTTAAAACTTAGGAGCACAACAGACAGCTTTGCACTCTCCAGTATAACTTTGTCCTTGAAAGGTAAAAGTGTATTTTGTTAAATTCACCTGCAGTTTGCATCACAATGTGATGAGTTAAGTCAGCTGCTGGTACATTTACTTTTACGCAATACATGAATATTCCTGCATATTTGGCCAACCCTGCTATACAACCATTGGAGGATAAAGTCATGAAATCTGTGAAAAAGGAGAGATATTGCTGTACTGTACCTCTGCTTATAAGCTTTGCACTAAATGCATACACTGTATAACAGTTTCCCATTCCCTCTTCATTTTTTCCATTACAGAACATCAGCCATGGCGCCTTCTCTCGTTCAGGCCTACAGGCGGCGCTGGTGGATGGCCGTAACAGCTGTGATCGAAAACCTTCTTTGTTCGGCCGTGCTGTTAGGCTGGGGCTCCCTGCTCATCATGCTGAAGAGGGAGGGCTTCTACTCTCACTTGTGCTCGGGTAAAATGAGAATAGTTTTGTCTCGCTGAAATAACTAAACTCTAACCCCTTTCCAAAAAAAAAAATAAAACACAACCAAACAACAACAACAATTGCTTAGGTGTCACACTTTATTCTACAGGAAACGACTCAGTGGTCGTGCATATGGGTAATGCCACTGATGGACATGCAGCAGACTGGCTGATCTGCGTGGAACAGGAGGAGATGCTGAATCTTGGATTCACCATTGGCTCCTTCCTGCTCAGTGCCACAACCCTTCCTTTAGGCATCCTAATGGACAAGTTTGGCCCACGTCCCATTCGGCTGGCTGGCAGGTAAATCCATCCTCACTAGCCCTGAAGCACCAGTGTCTAAAGGAGAGACCTGGATTAGCTAACTGCTGAGTATATGGACCAGGGTCACTCATTTTAAGCACATAGGCTGATAAAGTTTTCAATTATTTCAACAAACAGTCAGATATGCAGATAAACAGTAGTTACTGTTGTTATTACCTCTCCTTAATAATAATAATTTAACTTAATTGATCTCACAATGGAGAAATTTACCTCTGCATTTAACCCATCCCCTTGGGGAGCAGTGGGCTGCCATCATGGGGCACCCGGGGAGCAGTGTGGGGTTAAGGGTCTTGCTCAGAGACCCGAGTGGTAGTCTGTGGGAGTGGGGCTCAAACTCAAAACCTCAGGATTCCAAGCTCTATGCCCTAACCACGAGGTCCCCACTCCCCTCCTTACAGGCAGTATTGCACAGATGTAAAACAGGTGTAACAGAATGATTTCCTTTTCCCAATGTGGATTTATTATTCTCTCTGACTTTTTGACCTTTTTAGTCAAATGGTTTTTAACCTCCATAATCACGTTCCCACTGAAGCAGATATGAGAAAATGAGCTTGATGGACAGCATTCCTTCAAAGGAAGGAATGTAAAATGAGTCAAAATGGGTGGAGTTTTGTTTGTACACATGGTGTTTAAACTTTACTACAGTCAGTCTAAGTATTATAGCCTCTAGATGATGTGGAAATTGCCATTTGCTGCCTGAACCTCTTTAAACAGGCATGAAAAAAGATTACTGGGGTCTGGTTTGGGGGTATTTATGTTGGATTTTGGAGCAATCTGTTGAGATTCTTCTTTGAGATTTTAATGCAAGTATAGCCTTTTCACAACCATGTGAACACATGCACTCTGTTGTTTATGAAGGCTTTGTGTAAATGGTTGAAATGGTCCAAGAGCACATCATCTTTTAATGGGTGTGTGAGAAAGTCCTGTGTTGACAGGATTATTCATTAGTTGCAGTAGGATTACGTCTCAATTATTAGCAGGGGATCCTTTCTTAATGTCATAGAGTATCTACATGTTTCTTTTTTGTAATGTTTACCCCTTCTCTCAATGTTTCATTGCAGTTCCTTGTTTGGTCTGTCCTGCATCATCATGGCTGCTTCTGCATACAACCCTAATGGTGAGTAAACAAAACAGGATTTCAATAGGGCTGCTTGATATTAAAAAACCTTGTGGAGACAATAATAATGGTAAAAACTGCTGTGGTGGTCTTAGATGCAATATGTGTTTTCTTATTTCCTCCTTTTTAAGAGAATTAAATTACAGTTTAAAAGTTACATTTTGCTTAAACAGGCAACTGAACATCAATCCACCAATCATATACAGTAGGCCTCTTTATTGGTAGGTAATAAAAGAACAACTGTCTTTTATAATAATACAGAACATAATGGGTCAAAAAGTCTAATTATATCTCTTTTTTTTTTTTACTTGGTAAAGCCCTAGTGGCTTTTTTTTTTTTTTAACTGTAGGCTGACAGGAAAGGGGATATGAGAGGGGGGGGGGGAGGATGCAGCAAAGGACCGCAGGTCGGATTCGAAACTGGGTCGGCCTCGTGGAAAACTAAGGCCTCCGTACATGGGTTGTGCACGCAAACCACTGCGCCACCTGCCAGTGTTGGGAAAGTTCTCTTTCTACGTGAACTAGTTCAAAGTTCAGTTCACACATTTTAAAATGAACTAGTTCTTTAGTTTTTTTTTTTTTTTTCATATATTGCTCAATTACACCATAGCCTACTGTAGAACCACAGACAGCAATTATTTTATCAGTTGTAACACTGAAACTGTGCGTCAGATTTCATCTTCATATCCAGTTTTGAATCCTTATCCAACCACGGTTTACATTAGCATTGAGGGGACAGCATTTCCCCATTGCTGCTTTAACGCTTTGTTGCTGTAAATTCACTTCACACTAGTAGCTGCAGCTTTCACCCCTACAGTATATTCTCAAAAACATCAGGAAAAATGTGCTGCTTGAATGGTCTTTTTTATGAGTAATTATTAAAAGGCAGGTTTAACAAACAAGTTACATGAATAGTAAAATCCTCAAGAACATTTTACTAACACAAACTGAGGGACCAGGCTGAGGTAGGAATTAAAGGTTACTGAAGTGCGGATTTTTTTACTGAAAGCCGGCGGGCAAAGTTTGCAGAGAAATGTAAGATTGTTGCCATCATCCTCACCGACCACCTGGTCATAAAAGTGTTTTAAGTGATCATACTGCTGCTTTTTCGCATCCACGGTCGTCTCCATGCTGCTGTGGCTTCCACCCTGAATTATGTTTTGATGACGCACGCGGCTGTAGGCTACAACACTGGTAGCTGGTGTTGCCAGATTGGGTGTTTTTCCCCGCTACATATTAAGGCCTGTTTACGGTGTGATTTAGCTGGGGTTTCGCCTGGAGGGCTCTATAGAAATCTGGCAACCTATTGAACGGAGTTGAACTGAGAGAGCGTGCCGTTCACAGACACCAGAATGAACGAGTTCACAATAACGTTCATCAGGCAGTAATACAGTACGTTCAGTTCACGTTCGCCCAAAATATGAACGAGTTCATGAACTTTCGTTCAATGAACGCGTTCAGGCACAACACTGCCACCTGCACACCCGTCTAATTATATCTTGATAGCATCATGTATTGCACTACTTCCTTAAATATAAAAATTGAACTCTCTGTTTTTTCCTGTCATCAAATCCATGATCAGAAATGCAATGTTCTATTATTAGTTCTTTTTTTTCTTTTTTTTTTCCTTTTTACTCTTAAATTATATATGCAATGTTACAACTCATATTACATCCTTCTTTCATCATATCAGTCTCCTGGTAATGCTGCTGTTTTTTACTCTTTTGAATATGATCACTTCTGAACTTTTTGAGGTATTTATTAAGAATAAATATAATATTTTTGTGTGTCTTATCTCTGCAGTGCTCTCAGGGCTCATCTTCTTAGCTCTCTCGCTGAATGGCTTTGGAGGCATCTGCCTGACCTTCACCTCCATCACGGTGAGATGCACAACAGCAAAAACACTGAACAAGATAACAGAAACAAAATACAGTCAGATACCAGAATATATCTGAAAACAAATCCTTACTGTACAAGACATTTTAAAAAATAGGAAAAAACTATTCAGATCCCACTTCACTGCTTGCGAAGTCAGAAAAGCCTTTAAGGCAAGAACAGCTTGAACATAGTTGTAATATCTAAGTATTTGAAAACAACTGTTCTTATATTTATAGTTTTTCTGCATCACAACCCAATGTGAAAAAGAATAGCAGAGGAACAAAAAATAATGTCAGCAGAAAGGGAGAAACAGAAAGACTGGTTATAATGTTTCTGCAGTAGTGATACCGATAGTAAAGCCGATGAGCTAAAATGCTGAGGCCATCTTTAAAAAAATGAGTCACAAACAGCTTTTTTTGTCTTCTGAAATTAAAAAAGTTGTTTACTTTGTAAGTTTCCTTAGAGCCTCCTCAAGCTGCCTAGTTATTACAGAGGGAAGCATGGAGATGGAAGTGTTATGGTGGGTTCCCAGATATAGAGATTACTTCCTTTAATGGTTTAGTAAAGCCTCTGTATCTGTCAAATCACAGCCTGGTACATCCAACTAGTTGGGTATCTTTGAATCCTAATATGAATCTGGAACAATAAGCTCCCGCAGGTTTGATTTTGAAGATGGCATCTTCAGCTTCCTGTTGCTTTCTGATGGTAGGTATACTATAGTCCAGTGCGAGCATTCAGGAGAATGAAAAAAGAGAGATATGAGACATAAATGTCATCTAATGATAAAACCAAAACAGAAAGATTAAAGAAAAATATTGAACAAGTTCAACCTCAACATCTGTCGACAAAAGGATTTTACAAACAACAGTGCAGAAATTTTCTCAGGAATGCTGCGATGGAGCACAGTGAAATATTAGATCTATCTTTTTTTTTTTTTCAAATATAAGGTTTTTGTCATTTTCATTTAGTCAGTTCATTTAAAAGATAAACGCTTGACTTGTGACCTATATCACACTTCGGTAAAGTGTCTGCACAGCCCAGAGGCCTTCACTTTTATATTCTCACACGCCTCTGGAGAAATAACAGTGAAGGTTTTCAGTAAAGCACGGCGGTGGTAGTGTAGTAATGCTGGCCTCTGTAACAATGCACATGCAGCAATGTTAACTGGATCTAAAAAACATCCTCTGTTATTTTTTTTACCTTAAAGAAAACATAACAGGATTAAAAAATACACTTAAAAAACGTGAAAACAACTTAACTTTTATATTAGCCTCTTTATAACTACATCCATTTCAGTTTACTTGTAATTGTAGATTTATTAAAAAAGAACAAAAATACTAATTTTGATCCCAACTTTTGTCCTAATTAAAAATTTCTCATCTGACAAATGCTTATAAAGGGTAAATAATTCAAACAGTTATTTTGAATAACAAACATTTAGGTCGGCATAAGAGTTATATCCATTTTCTTTCTCATTGACACCAGTTGTGTAAGTTGTATTTAAGTAAAGATCTGATGCAATTCGTACCTGATAGAAATGATTGGGGGAGTTTTTGTTTTTGGCAGCTCCTCAAGTCAGCATTACTCAAGTGCTGAGCGCGCTCTGACTTGACGTGCTGTTGTTACACGCTAGCACAAGGATGGTATATGAAGAGCGATGTGTCAGCTGCTACCAACATCATTAAGTGCGTTATATGTTTACAGCTGTCTCTGTTTTCCTGGCCAGTGTTTAGAGTTATTTTGTTTGTGGGTACAGAGCAGCATGTGACCTCTCATAGATGGAAAAGCAGTCATGCTTCCTTAGACCAATGACAGCCTTTATCTGCCCACACACCCTCCCTTAAAGCTCGGCCCACTTACCTCTACCTAAAATACCCAAGGGCGCTTTAAGTCATGTGTTTGCTCTGTTGTCTGACGCCCCCCCCCTGTTGTTATATTCTGTTCTGATCCATAACATGGATGCTACACATTTTGCAAATGTTCTTGACCAAACACACATGATATATGCACTGTTATATTTGCACATCACCTTCACAGATGTTTGGATGGTGAAGGCTCACTCTTAAAGGGGCAGATAACGTTATTCTACAGCCTTTATTTGATGTCCGCAATGTGGTGGTGTGAAAATAACAGCTGCTTCAGTTAAATAAGCAGAGTTTATACTAGAAACAGCTGACATGGCAGTTTTTCTGAAGGGAAACTCAAATACACTTTATTTTAAGCTTAGAGAGCTTGTTTTGCTTTAATTACTAACTAAAGTCGACATAAATGGGTTAAATCAACGAAAGCAATTTCAAGTTAGTCACTTTTCAGCCTTGAGTTACAGGTGCATTAGGGGACTTTCTATCTAGCATTATATTAGACCTAGTTTATTGGTTTAAATACTTTTTAAATAACATCTATATGTGAACAGGACCAGGCTTACTGCAGCCTCTCTGGTATTAAAATATAGTTTGAGTGCAGCAGGAAATAAAGGTTCAGTATCTTAACAAGAAAGCACTTCAACAAATGACAGGATCAACAAAACACCCTACTTTTCTTAAAGATTTAATACTGGAAAAAGGTTAATGTTGCCTTCTATCTCTGCACTTTGTGGTCGTACATTCAGGATATGTTGTTGTTTTTTTTTACTTAAACTCAAACAATGGTTATGCATGTAGTCTGTCTTTTATAGGAAAATGAATAGATTCTTGCAGGTTGCAATCAACTTTCCATGCAGCAGCGTGTTACAACATATCCCTGTTTTTTTTGTTGTTTTTTTTATGTTCAAACTGCCAGTGATGTAGGAAAGCATTCGGGGAAACTTGGACATAATTAATTTGAGTTTTAGAAATGGCCTAAAATATTTTGCAAAAATCTCAAATTAGATTTAGTCAAAGCTGAATTAGGTAAAATACTTCATCATCAACTAAAAAGATGTATTTTTTCAAATCTTATATCTCTGTATAAGGCATAACATCACATTAAAGAACAAACCCTGTCCTAGTTTGACCCCTCAGACATTTTACATGCTGATCATTCTGTTCCACCAATCACCCGAAAACATTTAACATCAGATCTGTTAGTGTTTCCTATGGGACCGTTGTTTTTCTCTGTCTGACCTTTGGTTCAACATGTCTGAATGGATTTATCAGTGTCCTCCGAGCTGATGTCATTCTTGTCCTTCGACAGAGTAAAGGGATAATGACACTCAGATATGAACGAAAAACAGACCAGAGAGTAATGTGTCAAAAATAGAATCAGGAGATGTCATGCTGACTGGAGACAAACGGAAACAGAAAAATGTAGGGATTAATAAAAGCATGTTTTTATTGTTATGTTTTTTTTTATTTTTATTTTAGTGGGGATTGCTGAACAGAAAAAATATAAAATAAACTGAAAACTGATTCATATTTGTTAAACTCATTAGCTAAAAATGCAATAATAAACAAAGTAAAAAAAAAAAATTTCACACATCTATTAAGGATAATTCATGTGGCCTTGCTACCTTGTGTGCCACACCCACTTGTGGCATTCACCTTTTCCAGGAACGCATAGCTGACTGGCAGCAAGTTTCTTCCTTTGTTTAGTCCAATGTTCCAGCCAGGAACATGTAAAAATAGTCCTGCTTGTTAGATATACCTTTCATCACTGATTAGAAGCTGCCTCCATCACATCAGCCCCCCCGCCCCCCTTTTAAAGTCCTCAAAAGCTAAAGTTGCTGCTGGATCTCTGCAGGGAGCTACGACTGGCTGAGACAGTGTTACTCTGGGTCAAAATTTAGGGAAACTTCCAAAGCTTTGATCCACATCTAAACATTTATTTAAGTCCAGTGCAGCTGGTTGTGACAGTTTGGCCAATCTGTGAAGGGTTACTGAGGGCGTAAAGGGGTGGGGGGGGATTATGGTGGTGGTACCACTCAGCGGTGGTTTAGTGTTTCCTGCTGAGAAGGTGCAGCTGTGGTTGAGTGAGGAATCAGTCAATCCTAAAGAAATCTTACTCCCACTAACTTTTCACCTTTTTTTATATAACCTCTACCCCTGTTCTCCAACTGTTGCACCATCTCCTGCCAAATTCTCTGCATGTAATCTACTGTTCTTCCGCCTGGTTGGAGCTGAAATATATCCTTGAACTCATTAGTCTTTCATTTGGCGCATTCTGGGTGATTAAAGTCCTAATTACAGCTGGTGTTGGCTGCCAAGACCTTGCAGAGCCCAGCTGAGCGAGCACAGCCAGAGGAGAGCCTGAACCGATCGGTGGTGACAAACGAGTGACCCAATAACCCGTGTTAACCATTGCCTTGTTCCATTCAGTAACCTGTTAGCGATAGATTCGTGATGGAAAGCATTTATGTGCAACGCTGGTAGAGAACTACCCAAAAGACTTGCAGCTTCAGCTGCAGGGAAAGACGTTTCTACTGATAAAAAAGCAGAAAAGTGGAACAGCAGCCCATTTCTGTGAATGGGAGGCCCAGGGTGTCGCTAATATTGCTTTAACTTGTGAGATAGAAACTCCTCTGTTTGTCTCTTTCTCATACATTCCTTGATGCTCTGTGGTCAGAAGAGTCCAGCTCCACACATCTAACAGCCCCTCGATTCTCAGAAATCCTAAATGATGAAGAGTGTTCTTCAAGATGTTTTTTTCCCCTTCCTCAGACAGTCAGACTCACTGCCCCCCCACTTTTTTTTTTTCACTTTTCCTGTTAACTGCATGGTGTGAGTTCTTGAGGCGACCTCCGGCTCCCTTGGTGCAGCACAGACACACATTACAGCGCGCCGGCCGTTAACTGTCACTATGTTGTGATCTCAATGCAGCTTTTACACAGACATGGAAAATCAAACGTCAACGTTCACAGAAACACACGCTTGACGCCCTCGTACAGAAGCTCCAAAGAAAGCTTGGGAAATTTCGACTCTGAGGTTCCTGGAAGTCTTTTCCTGGAAGGCTCAGCTTCTGCCTAAACGCAAGGACCTGGAATAAACATGGACAGGGTTTTTCTTCTGCAGACTTTCTACTCTGTTCACTAAATCAAAGGGTCTTATATAGGGCTGAAATAATTAATCGGATTAATCATGATTAATCAATTATTGAAATAATCGTCAACTGATTTAGTGTAGAGACTCTAAAACATGCCTTTAGCTGATGGAGCGACCCACAAAGTAGTAATTATACCAAGATTGTAAAAAATATATGTACCGTATATGTAAACATTTTGCATTTAAGATAAACATTTTGGTCTGTCAGTATGCTCTCCCTAGTTTTAGCTTCACCTGGTTTAATTTAGCGAAAAGTCGTCTTTTAAGGAAGCTTTTGCTATCTGATTATTATTCGATTAATCAAAACAAAAAAAAATAATCCACTGTTTTATTGATTTGCAATATAATCAGTAGTTGCAGCCCTAGTCTTATGTTCTTATCAGTCTGACAGAAGCATCAGCAAGTACTGATATAAATCTAAAAAAAAAGCAAACAATATTTTATTTATTTTGTCTTTTGTTTATCTACCTCCCCTGTATATGTAGCTCCCTCTTTTGAGTTCTGCTAGCTTCCCTGTCTGAGTTAGAGAAAATTAGCCCCACAAAATGATGCTGCCAGTATCATGCTTCACTGTGGAAAATTGTTATTTTTTTTTTTTGGTAGCATAAAATTCTTCCACATGTTTTCTGTGTATCACACCAGGCAAAGTGCAGGTAGGACTCCTTGTTGCATCCTTTCAAAGACAACCTTTTTCTTGCTGTTCTCCATAAAGGCCGGTGTTGAGTGCATAATAATCGTCCTGTCAACAGATTTATCTCACCTGAGCAATGGATCTCTGCAGCTCCTCCTATGTCTCTTGAATTCTCTGATGAATTAAATGTAGCTCTCTTGCTTTTTTTTTTTTTATATCACATTTCATTTTCAAGTAATAGATCAAACATTGCCCCACTGATCATTCAATGCTTTGGATGTTATTACCTCCGCCAAGGAGGTTATGTTTTAGGAGAGTCTGCGTGTGTTTGTCTCTCTGTCTGCTTGTATACAGGATAACCAGAAAATGTATGGTTTGATTTTAATGACATTTTTATCAGATACACCTAATTCCAAGGAACAACCTATTAAGATCATGTGTGAGTTTCAGTCACAGTTTGTGGCAAAATGTGCTGCTTGGCAGATATTTGCACTCTCTGATTGCTTTTCTAGTTCTGTAAAAAAAGTAAGCAGCCTAGTTTCATAAGATAACCTTCTGCATCTAAACAATAGATCGTACGCAGTCTAGCTAATGTCATTCACTTGGCCAACATGTTCATTCTTACTAATTATGCGGATGAGATAACAAAGCGTTAAACTCATCTCCCTTTCAACTTTTTAAAGTAATCAAACAGGATATTTTCCTCCCTCTGCAAGGCTAAATTGGCAGAATTTATTTTCTTTAGATGAGATAAGCTGCTTTGTATATACTAACTGTGGGTCATAGAGGATTATATGGGTTCAAGCTACAACTGAAATCTGAATTATCAGAATAATTTTTCTTGGACTGTATTATATCAGCTTATAAGTGCAACTCCAATCTAAAGTTCTGGTATTTTATATAGCATTGCTTCATAGCAGCTGGCTGTGTATTAAAAAAGCATGACTGCAGGTAGCTTTAAGTTAATGCACCTGTTGCTCTGGCCTCTTTTCTCCCCCAAATAAAGGCTGCGGTATGACTTCAGCTCTAAACTTATCAATGTCTCATGGATGTGTTGCAGTGAGATCAGGGTGCAGCAACAACGGGTCACTGACATGGCTCTGTGAACTCTGACCCAGCCGAGGGATTAGGTGACAGCGGCAGAAGGTTGGTCCGTTTGCTTAGGGAAAATAGTGAGTCCGTCATGGAGAACAAGTGCAATCCCTCACATGTGATTTTATAATAATGACTGACCCATTTAAACCTGCAATCAAAGGACACTTAGTGTGGTGCCAGCACAATGGATTGTTATATGTTCTAATCTTCTTACTGCTGTTAATCAGCCGGCCTCATATATGGTTTGTTGGTGCCTGCCACCATGTAGGGTTTGCAAAGTTCCAAGCAGCCGTGTACATTGATTTGAAACTACTATGAAAGGTCATCAGGATTTTAATCTCAAATCTTTCAAACAGGAACATGAAAAAACTAGAATTTGTGTGGAAGCTTTGTTTATCCCTGAAACTAGAAAGTAAAGTTTTTAATCCGTCTGCAGACAGAGGGAACTTTATGTTCAGAATGTTTGGGGAGCATTTAATTGAAGTTTTCTCCCATCCTGATTCATAAAACTGAAATAAAGTGGGCTCTGCCCCCTGGTGGTGAAGCTTATGCACTGCAGGGTGGTAAATCAACACCTTCAATAAAGGGAAGATTAAAAGTATAATGATAATAATAGTAAATGTTTTTTTTGTGTGTTTTGTGTGTGTTTACAGCTTCCCAACATGTTTGGTTCTCTGAGCTCCACCATCATGTCACTGATGATTGGCTCCTACGCTTCCTCTGCTGTCACCTTCCCCGGCGTCAAGGTAAAGTTTAAATGTTAACCAGTGAGTGCAGCTTTGAGTTTCTGCAGCTGAAGCTCATACCTGCTGGTCAACAGAGGCCTTTCTGTGTGAATGCTCTCCGAGCGCCTGCCTGAGTGAGCTTTTTTTCCCCTCTGTGTTATGCCTTCCTGCTGCAGTCCTGAGTAGGTGGGTTGAAAGTCAACTTGTGGCTGTATGTGCGTCCGTGCATTAGTCCTGAGTAAAAGATTTTGTCAGTGTTCCTATATACAATCTGGAAATGTTCGGAAAAGTGTGAGATTTTATATGTGTATATATATATATATATATATATATATATATATATATATATATATATATATATATATATATATATATATATATATATATATATATATATATATATATATATATATATATATATACAAACATTCTACTATTCAATTTTCTGTCTTTCTTTTCACCCACCATTGTCGTCAGTTCTTTTTGTCGCCTTTCTTTTTGTCCTTGTTGTCTTTCTTTCATCTTTTCTAACTTCCTAATGTCCCTACTGTAGAAAACAATACCATGTATAGGGTGTGAATTTAAGTATTTTGTATTTTACTGTAAAGACAGAGGATTTAAGGTTGAGTCTTTTTATGTGTGAACTTTTTAAATGAAAGAAATTCTGTTCAACTGCCTCTGATTTCTTTATAACGTTATTTTAATGAGACAATATTTTTTCTTAAGACCAACACACCGATTAGTGTGTATTCGTCTTAATGTGGTCTGGATGGTTTTTGATGATCTTTGAGTTTCAAATTCTATTCAAATCAGTCTTTTATTTTATTTTAGAATATTGATAAAGATTAGATTAGGAGATTATAATGTGTCTCTTTGGATGTATCAGTTCAGTTCAGTCTGCACATGCTATTTAAGTCAATAAGCCTTTAAAGTTTACATCCATCCTTTCTCCTCTTTACAGCTGATCTATGATGAAGGCGTAGATTTCCATATAATCATGTGGATGTGGGCGGGACTTGCCGGCCTTGTGTTTTTTAACTGCTTTTTTAACTGGCCCTCAGAGGGTTTCCCAACCCCAGATGAGGTCGACTACAGGTCAGTGTAACATGCACCTGCCTGCTGAATGGATTATCTGTGATTTTAGTAAAAAAAAAAAAGCTGCATTTAAAATGTAACACTCTTATTTTATCTAACGTTTTTACTCAACAGTAAGATCCTGTCAATGCCAGAGGTTCCTTCATCTGAGCAAACAGCTGTAGGGGAGAGACTGAGCCAGAAAAATGGAGATATTCAACACTCCAAAGAGAAGCTTCCAAATGGACCCGATGCTGCAACAAGTGAGTTAGAGAGAGGTACTGAAAGTAGGGGCCGGGACCCCACAATGGGGTCACCAAATGAATCATAAATCATACCTTTTTTTTTTTTTGGCTTAAACTAAATAATTTATTTAAAAAATAAAATACCTTCTAACTGTTCTGTTTCATTGTGGATAAAACAACAGAAACTAATGGTTAAGTTGAATATTTTACTTATAATTTTATTGATGTATAACATCCTAAGATGTATTACTCTGTGTTGTGTTGTAGAAGTCGGTGCAGTTTGTAGTACAGGACCAATGCCAACATTTTTACTTTTTAATATGACTCATATTACACTCTCTGCAACTTCTGAAACCTGTGGTTCATTATCAGCACTGCTCTGTCTTCACACCATTCCTAAAGCTAAAAAGGATCCCCTCTCCTCTCTTAGACACTGTTCCTTTCCGACGCTCCGTCTTCTCCCCCATCTTCCTCTGGAGCTTGATCACCATGGGGATGACTCAGCTGAGGATCATCTTCTTCATGGGAGCAATGAATAAGATGCTGGAGTTCATGGTCACCCGTGGGGGACAACACCGTTAGTGTCCAAGCCCTATCAGACACTTTCTTTACTACTGTTTAGATCCTGTTTTAAATATTGTTATTCTTTTTATTTTAGCACCTGATGATGTTGTACGCGAGGCAGAAGAAACTGGTGAGCTTTGTTAGATTATGGCTGGAAAACTTTCGGAATGCACCTGAGTTTTCTTCTCACTCCTATGTTGTCCTGTTAATCTTTAAGTGAGTTTCTACTCATCCATCTTCGGCACGCTGCAGCTGCTGTGCCTGGTGACGTGTCCTCTGATTGGTTATATCATGGACTGGAAGATGAAGGAGTGTCAGGAGGAAACGTGTCCCTTGACAGGCATAGTCCAGAGGTACTTCCAGTAAAATCAGATTACAGACCGCTCTGTATGCTCATTTCCTATCATGAGCGTAATGCAGGTTAAAGAAAACACCTCCTGTGTCTCCATTAGCCCCAGAAGAGACCGTAAGATCCAGAAGGTAACCAACGCCATGAGAGCGTTCACATTCACAAACCTCCTGCTGATCTTCTTTGGAATCTGTAACCTCATAGATAACCTGCCCTTACAGGTAACGCACTGCATCACACACTAACAGTTAAACAGCATTAGAACGGATGCTTCTAACCTTTCTATTTCCTGTCTTAGATCTTAACGTTCATCCTCCACACTATGGTCCGAGGATTCATCCACTCCTGTTGTGGCGGCCTCTATGCTGCAGTGTAAGACCCACATGTCCTTGGGCATGGAAAGTTTGACAGGATTCCTATCTAAACCACAGTGGCATATTTGATCTTTGTTCAGTAAAAGTCACAGCAGTATTAACCATGCAGTATTTAAGTCCAAGCAGACCCTTTTCTGACTCATTTGGAGTTATTTTCTAACACCAAATAAACACCAGAGTAAAATAGAGCTTTACAATGTGATAAAAGCAACCAGATGTGGCAGCAAAACCAGAGCAAGTCAAAATTCCTACAGCAAGATGACGTGCGTAGCAGAGATGTGAAAAA